GGGGGGCTGTCTTCAGGCGATTGGCCGGCGGCTGGCCGGTGGTGGCTACGGTCGACGTACTGGCAGTTTCTGGTGGGTCCAATTCGGACCCAATTGGTTGATTTTGGACCCAATTGGTTTAATCGGGTTAATTCGGGTTCAATTGGGTTAGCTCTTGTGTAATCAGGTTTCAATTGGGATTGACTTTTGTGCTAACGGGTCAGTTTGGATTCAATTGGGGCTGTCCAGGCTGTTGGGCCGGTAGCATTGAGCCGGTTGAGTGGGGTTTCCGGGTTGATCCGGCGGGTTGTCGGGTGATCCGGTGGTTATTGATATTGCTCCGACTGGGGCAGCGGGCCCGAGGATCGATTCGTTGGTCTCAATTCTGCGCAGGTGAGTTGGGTTAATTGTAATTTGGGTTGTTTGATTATGCATGACGGTAATCGTGGGTCTTTGGCCCTGATAGGCCGCTATGTGATTTGTTGTGAATTGTGAATTGAGATTTAAATTAAATTTATTTTGTTGATGAAAATTGTGGATTATGAATAATATTTGGGAAATAGGCCACCTAGTATAATTAGGCGGACCTGAATTGGATTGACAGATTGAATCACCAATAGGATATGGTTAGGAAATTTGCCATTGCGGGGCGTCGTCGCACACCTGGTGGTCTTGGGTTAAAAACGTACGTATGGAAGTCCGCGACCTGTCCTGGCATCGCAGGGACAGGGGCTTCAACCCGCCCAAAGTGAATCTCCTTTGGGTTTCTGAGCTGGCCCTTTTATAGCATTGCTTGGGGTGCCATGACTCAAAGTAGTTGATGTGGAATAAAATAAGGACGTGATGTTCAACTTAAAGGTGTTAATATAAATATGTTTATGTAAGAAAATTTTCTCCGTGACCACATGCTGTTGTTGATTATATGTTAATGTGGTGCTATTCTATGAGTTAGTGCTAGCTTAAGTATATTTTCACTCAGCACTTCGCTCAGTGTGTAGTCTTGTTGTCTTGGACTGCACACAGGTAGGGATGTGAATCGAGAGGGCCAGTCTGGAGGACATTGGTGTGTGACGCCGTGGATGATGTCACCATTTTATTGTGGACATTTAATTATCGCATTAATTAATTATTTGGGTTAAACATTTATTGTTGAACGTTATTTTGAGACTTCCACACTTGATAGATTTTACTCTAATTTTGTTTGTAATTAACTTGGTGTCTGAATGTTTCAGAATAATTTGTCAAAAGTGTTGTGTTGTGAATATGAATTTAGTAGCAACCCGATTCGTTAACTCCTTGGTTCGGGTTACGCGGGTCGGGGTGTTACATTTTGGTATCAGAGAAAGTGGTTTTAAAAGCGATTTTGTGCCAAAATAATTAAGCGTATATTTTCAAAAAAAGTTAAATATATTTGTTTTTCTTTAATAAAAAAAATGCTGTGCATTTTTTAAAAAAAAAGTAGTACACTTTCGTACAAAAAATGTTGTATACTTTCGTAAAAAATGTTGTATGCTTTTGGGAAAAAATGTTGTTAATTTTCAAATAAAAAGGAGAAAAAAGGGTCATCCACAGCTTTGCGACGTCACTACTCCAGGAGGTAACTCTGGATCCTATTCTGTTCTTATGTCAAATTCTTGTCTTGATTGTTTGTGGTTTTGTTTGTTAACTAACAGGTGATTTAAAAAATAGTTTCCAATAAAAAGGGGAACATAAGCAAAAGAAGATTGAAAAAAAACTTATATTAAAAAAAATGTTGGTTATGGAAACAAATTATAGTGAATTCCGAAAAAGTAAATTATAGAAGAAGAATTTATAATTATTAATGAACTGTAGTGCGATCATGTTACTAAAAGAAAATCATACGTCACGTGCTAACTCAGCGCGTAGGCGACTAGGAAAAAAAATTCAAAGTAAGAATTTACTTTTGAAACTGATGGTGGTCCCAAAGTGGTGAGATACAAAGTCTAGAGGGGGGTGAATAGACTTTGTTACAAATTTAAAAACTTTTTCGTTTCTTTTTGAAAACGTAAAAATGAGTGTTAATCTAGAGTTCTTGTGAACTTTATATTGTGTGTGGAATTTGGTGGGTAGAGTGAGCAGTAATCAATATGGATGGGTTAGTTTTCACAATTATTATAATTGCAAGTAAGAATAAAGATAAAAGAGAGAGACATTCAAACTTTAACGAGGTTCGAAGGTGGGGTAATCCTTCTACGTCCTCAAAATCCACTATGTAGTTGGTTGTTGAATAACGAACCAACAATTACACTTGTGTGAATTTCTACACAGTATATCTTCGCCAGGCCATTGTTGCTACTGCACTCGTGCTGGCTTTGTTGTTCCTTCAAAGGTCACGCTTCTTCAACAACTGCAAGGTCCGAACAATAGGACTTGCAAGATCAACTTGTAAGAAAGTTGACCTACCCCCTTTTAATCAAGAAGTTTGATCAAAAGTTATATCCTTCAACGTGGTGTGGTACTTGAGGCAAGGAAACCTTCAAGTGTTTACACTATAGCTCTTTGGAAGGAGGAGAAGTTTGCTTCTAGATAAGGAGTTTAGAAATCTCTCTTTATCAAGCTCTTTGAGCTAACTGTGAATGAGATAGCTTTGTTGTTGGAGATTGCTTCATTGTGTTGTTATGTTTTTCTATCTCATGGGTTGTGTGTATTCTCCAGTCTTCCAAGGATGCTATTTATAGCTGGATTGGATAATCTATCCGTTGAATTACAATAGACTATCCGTTGCATTTGCTGGCTTCAATTTTGAATGAAGATTGTGATTTGAAGACTCCTCGTTGGAATGGGTGTTCGGACATACCCAATTGTTTGAGGAGGGATTCCTTTTTCCACGGAATTCGTCTTCTAGCTGTTGTTCAAGAATTCTAGACTGTAGCACTTTACTCTGTTTGTCTTCTAGTGCTTGTTTAGGAATTCTAGACAGGCTCTTCAATTTTAGAGGTCCAGACTTTGTCTTCAAGTCATTTGTTTTTGAATCAGCATAATTATCTTCAATCTAGCCGTTGAAAATCAAGAGATTGATTTTTCCTTACCAACGGGTAGAATTTCTTCATTCACGACTTAGATAATTTTCTAATTCTTTTCTCACTTGTCCGCTTTTGAGAGTTTCGGTCTTTCTTGAGGCATCCGGTTCTTAGCTGACAAATTTGGAAGAGTCATTCTCAGTCTTCCTGGTGAGAAAGAGATCCGCGCTAGTCTTCCGACTTAGCCTTCAGCGGGTTGTGGCGAGACATTTGGTTATCATGTAGTCTTCTGGATTGGTGGATTTTCATCCGCTTTGAGAAATCCTTACTTGTCTCTGACATTTCCGATCAAGATATCCAATTTCCAAATCACTGAATTTGATTAAGTCTTCAGGCATCAAACCGCTTAAAGAAATATCACAACTTTATTGGAAATCTCAAGAACTCGGTTTTAACAATATTTCTAAAAAGAAAAATTACATTGAATATTGGGGGAGACCTAAAGTCCCTATTACATTCTATATACATCATCATCAAAATTTATAATATTTTTCCCAACAATTTCCCCCTTTTTGATGATGACAAACAAGTGTTTAAGAGTTCCGATCGCTATACTGAGAACTAATTTTATAACTTTCTTTTAGTTTCTCATAATATACAGCTTGTTAACAAAAACTCTTAAACAAATACAATTCAAATTACAATAATTCCTAAACCAAGTCTTGTCTTGAGATTTGTGATATTTTCCGCCATTGACCGTTTTCAGCTTCAGCAGAACTTGCTTGGCAGAGCGGATGGCGTTACGTTTGATAGATCTTTAATATCCAAAGTGGATATTCAAGATCTTGGAAGCAACACATCTCTCAAAAAAGCAAAAACAAGAACAAAAAACGAAAGAAAGAAAAAGGAAAAAGGTAAAAAGACAAGAAAGAAAAGCTTTTGGAAAAGAGAATTGATTGTGAAAAAGATAAAATAAGGGTTTTTAAAGATGAAGGGAATAAAAAGAAATTTAAAAGAAAAATTTAAAAAAAATTTGAAAAAGTAAATTTTTTAAAAAAAAGTGTTTGAGAAAGAGAAAAGATTCTGCACCAAAAAATTTTGAAAAATGCTTTGGAGAAGGGTGCAGAGACTGCCTAAAAAAATAAGAAAGTCCAGAAAAAGAAAGAGAGGGAGGGGAAAGAGATCAAAAAAAGAAAATAGAGAGAGTTGTTCCAGAGAAAGTGTATGGTGTAATCCTGAAAAATACGAGATTGGCACCATATACTTTCTCTACTGCCGAGATTTGCACCATATACTTTAAATTTCTTTTCTTCTCACTAAACTTTTCTCCATTTCCGTCTATGAGGGTGAGAAAGAAAAATTTCTCCATTGAGGATATTTTTCTTGGTGTTTTTCTCAGACAGTGATTAGTTTGAAGACTTTTCATGTTGAAAGAGTTGTTTGTGATAGGAATGGATTGGGATGTCTTGATTTAAATAGGAGAGGAGGTAGAGAGAGGGGAGGTTCACGGGTTCCATTAAGTGAGTAGTTGAAACGGTGAGAGTAAAAGAATTTCAACTTCCAAGAAGTTGAATTCTGAAAAGTTGAAGGAATCTTTTACTGATTACCAATGAATTGAAACTGTTCCAATTAGAAAATCAGTTTTGTTTGGCTTGAGAAAAGTAACTGTTTTAGTTTGGCTAAGCCCAAAAGAGTGGCCCAAAAAAATATTCTTATGCACTAAAGGGAAATTATTCCTATTGGGTTCTCAAGGCCCAAAATAAAACTATCATTTTTCATTCCCTATAGTTCTAATTTCTAATTAGGACGAGGTAGTACCAAAAAGAATATGAAATTTATTTTTAAAAGAAAAGTGGTACTATTTTTCCAAGGTCCTGTACAAAAAAAAAAATAAATCCTAAGGACCAGTACTTTTAGAGCTAGTTGGAAAATGAATTAAGGATTAAAGCTTAGTTTTAAAAAGGTAGATTTTGTAAAGTACCTGAATCGGAGATTTCCAACTTTAGTACTAAAATTGAGATATCCGTCTTCCAATGCTTAGAGCTCATCAATAATTCATTGCCAAAAACAATTGTTAGCCAAAAAACAGTTAAGTTCTCCCTGAATTACATTCCCCTTGAATGTATGCGCTCAGGAATAAATCTCAAAATCATACTTGAGATAGGCATAATCAAGCATAATAAGTACAATTAAGAGAAATATTGAAGCAATGTTTAAACCAATCAAGCAATGTTTAAACAAGAAGGTGTTTTCATCAAAGCAAATTAGTGTTTTCACATACTTTCCCCCTGGTTTGATGAAAAAAGCCTTCAGTGCTTCTTGCGCTTTGAAGATCCAGCAATCTCACTGATGCCTTGCATGTTTCCACATAGTTCTTTGATGCGCCTTATGTTGTTGCGTCTCTCCTCTGTTTGGTTATCATTTGAGAAGTGGGCAGCAATTGTTCCTACAGCCTCTGTTCCATCCAGTCCTGAGCTGGATAGATGCCGTGTTGAGTTCTCCGGATTGCTTCGCTGAGCGTCAAGGATTAGGTTAGTCATGTTAAGGTGCGAAGGAATATAAGAGACTTCTCCTTCTTTGACTGCAATAGGGAGCTCTAGAATCAAGGATGGACTGTGTTGTTGAAGAATTACTTCCATCTTGCGGTTTCTAGAATTTGTGTTAAGAAGTCTGAACAGTTTGAATGCTTCCTTCTAATTGTCAATGATCACCTTCAAGTAATCTTTGGATACTACCTGATTTGCTGAAGACACTGCCAGAGCTGATCTGATGTCCATTTGGAGAAGAGACATTTGCTTCTGTAGGCTGACGGTGACATTTGCTATTTGCTCTTTGATTTTGTTAACCTCCTTGAGTTGAAGATAACTGTCAGATGCATATGTCTTCATCGTGTTGCTCACAGAGTTACTCAATAGAGAGATGATCTCTAGAGTTTTATCCACTGATTTGCTTATTTCCTTGAGATCTGAGCTGTGTTTTTCTTCCGATTTCTCCATCAGCTTGTTGTACCTGACTTCCATCTGCTCTATCTCTTGCCTAAAGGAGGCATGTTGAGATGCTAGGGCTGATTCAATCAACCCTTGGACCTTCTTTGTCCAGATTTCCAGTAGGAATAGAAGAGCTATGGAAATGGAAGTTGGTTACCTGATGAGAAGAGGGTGTTCTTTGGAAGAGTTGCATAGGAAGAGATTCAGCATCTTCTTGCACATCTTCTTCATCAGCGATCCTTAGTGTCCTCTCAGACTCTCCTTCTCCTTCATCAAGTATAAAATTTGATATGTCCCTATAGAGGGAGTCTCTTTCTTCAGCTTCATTCTGCTCTTCAAAAACAGCCACTGGAGTTTTAGAGGCCTCCAGTTCTTCCATTTGATCTTCCTTTTCAGCTTCTGCAGAATTCCTTTGGGCTTCTACAGCTTGTTCATCTTAGACTTCAGTTGTTTTTGGAAAAGTGGACTGCTCCAAAATTTCTCCTGACTTCTCCGGGATCTCAAGTTCAGGCTGGTTGGAGATCTCACAAGCAGTTGTGAGATTCTCAAGGACTTGAGACTTGAGATGTTGCTGAAGTTCTTCATCTGATGCTTCCTGGTTCTGTTTTTGTGGAGTAGAGACTGCATTCTCTTGGAGAGCTTCAGGCAAAACCGTTTCAAAGGCAGATGAGGTTTCCGAAAATATTTGGAAATCCTCAGCTGTTGCTTCCAAGTCAGCCTGTGCTTCCGAAGTGAGAACCACCTGATCTTCTGTGGCTTTTGAGAAGACTGGCTTGTAGACTGCAGGATCCTCATCATCCACTTCAAATTCTGAAACTGGTGTGGTGGCCAAGTGTTCCAGATGCAAGTCTACATAGTTCCTTTTCCATACCCAGGCATCATCCAAGATTTGTTCACAGCTGTGGTTGACTAGTAGTCCTAAGAACTTCTTGATGATCTTCTCATTCTTCAGTTTTTGGTCCCAACCCAACAACTGCTCTGCTAAATTTCCAACCTTCCAAGCTCTCCAGTCATAGTAGAGCTGCCAGAATTGGTTATCAACATCATCTGTTTGGGGTTGAGGTGAGGGGGTTGGAAGACTATGGACTTGATGAGCTTCTTCTTCGAGTTGTTGAGGGCTCTGGTTGTGGGCAGAGGTTTCCTCAGCAGGTTCCTTCTCCTTCAACTCATCCGGGTTGACATTTCCAGATGTTGAGGGAGAGGTGGTTTTCCTCTTCTTCTTCCTTTAAAGTTCTCCTTGGATAGAGACTTCTTCTTCTTCTTCAAGATTCACTGGAGCAAGGTTCTATGGTGCTTCTACACGGAGAGAGGGAGACACCACTTGCTTCCTTTTGGCAGTTTTCGTCAAATTGATGAGTGGGACATTGTCTGAAGAACTTTCCTCAGCAGTAGCACTAGCACCAGCTCTGTTTTCCCCTTTGAAGACAGGTAGTATGGCCAATATCTGGCTCCATACTTCTTCCCTTTAGATGCAGCACCCATAGACTCCAAAATATGTCCAATGTAAAGACTTGACAAAGGTATTTCTGGTTGGGCTTTCCCAGATGCTTTGAGATGGAATTGAAGAAATGTGCAGCCCAGTTTACCATTGATTTGGTAATGAGAGCATTGATGATGAAGGCTCTCTCCTGGGTGATGTCATCAGCATGTCCTCCACTTCCACACTCGAGGCATGCGATGACCAGTTATAGAACGAGTTTGTAGTCGTTGTTCAGGTCTGCTTTCTTCGCTGGGCCAGAAGGAATTTGCCTAGAAATTCCAATAATATTCCAGTCCAGATTTTTGATTGGTAATCTCCCAAGTTCAGCTCCAGAGTTGGGAAGGTGAAGCTTTTCTCTCAATTTCTTCTGCGAAAGCTTCACTTTGGTACCTCCAACAGTGGACTTGATGACTTGAATCATCCTCTGTGGATCCTTCTTTGAATGAACAGTCTTGACCTCCCCATTTTTGTAGAATTCAAGAACCTCTTCTTCATATTTGAGGTGGATCTCCATATGAAGGAATTCGGAGAGTTCTTGAGCGGCTATCATCTCCAAATAGCTTTGATAGAACGCTGGTGAAGAGCATTTAGCTTCCAATTTCTGGAAATGGACATTAGCGCCAACAATCTTCATTCTCTCAGAAATTTGAGTGAGAAGATCTGAAGAATCTGAAGAAATTTTAGGGTTCTTGAGAGAATTCAGAATTCTCGCGAAGAAGACGACAAAAAAATTTGAGTGGGCGGTTGAGATCTGAATAGTGGCGATTGGGTTTGATTTGGGTGGCTTATGCGGCTGGTGGCGATTGAGTTTCTGACTATTCCCAAGGCCACGTGCCTACCCAATATTTTGACAGACGTGGAAAGTAGTCTGCCACGTGTACCGCACACAGTCTAATTGAATTAGACCAATTTTGTGAAGAAAATCGGAAAACTTGGCTTCACTTAGTGGTTTTGTGAAGATATCCGCCAGTTGTTCTTCAGTTGTGATATTCTTAATTTTGATATCTTTCTTTTCCACATGATCTCTGATGAAGTGATGCTTGACATCAATGCGCTTAGTGCGAGAATGGTGCACTGGATTTTGTGAGATGGCTATAGCACTTTGATTGTCACAAAAGATTGTCACTTCCTTTGTCTTGACTCCATAGTCCAGTAGTTGTTGCTTTAGCCACAAAATCTGAGCACAACGACTACCAGCAGCAATGTACTCTGCTTCTGCTGTTGATGTAGAAATGGAGTTTTGTTTCTTACTGAACCAAGAAACAAGATTTCCACCAATGAATTGACAAGTACCAGATGTACTTTTCCGGTCAACTTTGCATCCGGCAAAGTCAGAATCTGAGTATCCCACTAACTCAAATGAATTGCTCTTAGCATACCACAAACCCATGTTCTGAGTTCCTTTGAGGTATCTAAGAATTCTTTTAGCTGCTATCAGATGACTTTCCTTTGGCTTTGACTGGAATCTGGCACAAACACCTACTGCATATGAGATNACTACCAGCAGCAATGTACTCTGCTTCTGCTGTTGATGTAGAAATGGAGTTTTGTTTCTTACTGAACCAAGAAACAAGATTTCCACCAATGAATTGACAAGTACCAGATGTACTTTTCCGGTCAACTTTGCATCCGGCAAAGTCAGAATCTGAGTATCCCACTAACTCAAATGAATTGCTCTTAGCATACCACAAACCCATGTTCTGAGTTCCTTAAAGGTATCTAAGAATTCTTTTAGCTGTTATCAGATGACTTTCCTTTGGCTTTGACTGGAATCTGGCACAAACACCTACTGCATATGAGATATCCGGACGGCTTGCAGTAAGGTAGAGTAGAGATCCAACAATTCCTTTGTAGAGAGTTTGATCTACATCCTTTCCATCTACATCCATATCAAGCTTGGTGGAGTACTCATGGGGACAGAAACAGATGACTTCTGATCAACTTTGAATTTCTTGATAAGATCCCTTGTGTACTTGGCTTGGTTGATGAGAGTCTCTTCACTTCTCTGTTTGATTTGAAGACCAAGGAAGTAATTGAGTTCCCCCATCATGCTCATCTCAAATTTTCCTTGCATGAGGGTTGAGAACTTGGTGCAGAGATCTTCCTTAGTTGAGCCAAATATGATGTCGTCCACATAGATTTGGACTAATAGGAGATCTTCTCCATCTTGTAGTTTGAACAGTGTTTTGTCAATGACTCCTTTGGTAAATCCATTGTCTATAAGGAATTGAGACAATGTATCATACCAAGCTCTTGGTGCTTGTTTGAGTCCATACAGTGCCTTTTTGAGTCTGTACACTTGATCTCCCTTAGTGTGTAACTCAAATCCTGGAGGTTGTTCCACATAAACTTCTTCCTCGAGGTTTCCGTTGAGAAATGCGCTTTTGACATCCATTTGATAGACTTTGAAGTCCTTATGAGCAGCAAAGGCTAGAAACAGCCTTATAGCTTCAAGTCTAGCAACTGGAGCGAAGGTTTCATCAAAATCTATACCTTCTTCTTGACAATATCCTTTGGCAACCAACCGGGCTTTGTTT